TGATATCCTTACTGACTTGAAAATAATTATGTACATGGGTTTGCATCCCTTTGGTGCCTATACTTAATGATACATGTTATATTTGTTATTCCAAACAAAAAAAAAAATAGCATACGGCACCAAGAAGGTGCAACCATATACAAAAATCTTCACAGATCTATCAAAATATCAATAAGGTCACTGAAGACACAGTTGCATAATATCCAAAATGGAAACAATTATGGGATTTACAGGACATAAGTCAAGAGCTAAGCTACAATAAACATTTATGAAGAAACAAATAAATGTGATATTTTCAATGTCTCCAGTAAACTTACACCTAGGAAGCATAGGCAAAAGAGTTCATGATTGCCTAGGACAACAAAAACAGCAATATAAGACAAAAGGAGCACAAACGACCAATCCATTCCGCAATAAACACAAAATATGCAGATAAATAATGCTGTTTGGACCATTAGTGAACCTTCTTCTTTGGTGCCTTGAAATAGACAGTGACATTTTTTTCTCAAGTTAATGAACCTCAGTTGGGTGGTACATTGACTGGTTAAGGGTGACTTATGGGCTGGTAGGGGTCAGCTGGCTGCCAAATTGAAGGGAAAGTTTTTTGCTCTCATTCCCAGTGCTACCTTTTGAGTCACCTATATAGAGAGAAACAGAAAAGCCTTTGATGACTCCACCTCCTTTCTGAGTGTATTTTAGATCACTTGGTTTCGAGCTAGTATTTTATACAAGGACTTCCGTACTCAAGATGATGCTAATTTGTTGATCACATTGACCTTTTGTCTTTTGATTCTACATTGTAAGATGTACACAGGTTGCACCTCCATGGTGCCCTATTTATGCGAGCTTCTTTTCTCTTCTCAAAAAGAAACTGCTGCTCAGGATATAGATCCATTAATTCATAGGACCTACGAGTCAAAACTTTTCTCTTTAACACTTTTTCTACAACCAACTGAGAAAAAGTCAATTTCCTCAAGACATCATCAATCGAAGTCATTCTTCGATTATCGTGGCACAACTGGAGAGCTAGGGCACCTTTCACTTTTTTTTTCCTTAATTAAAATATTTTTAGACAGGTGAAGAAAATGGCATATGTTGCCATTTGAATTAAGTACCAGCATTAATCATCCATAAACTGTAAAGTGAATTGTCGCCCAGTAGCAGACTAGCAGC